TCCGTATAGAGTCGCCAAAAGATCGATCTTACATAGCCTGGTTGTCCACATACCGAGAGAGGCGTGCTTGCCCGCGAGTGTGTTGAGGGACGTGAAAGGAATTCCCACAAAGCAGCAACGGCTCCACAATCTGCAGGGCGGCTGGTGAGCCCATGCTTGCTCCCTGAACTTGCTGTACTACCCTTTGGCCTAGTTGCGCGAAACTGAGTCGCACCAGCAGAGCGACTAAAGGTAAGCAGTCCCAGCCTGTCTGTATCTACCGCTAAAAGCCAGCAAACCCGCTCAGAACGCGCGAAGGAAATTTGAATGTGATCCTCTGGGCTGACGCATTGAATCACACAGAACCGGGCAACCAGAAGAGAAACGCATTTCTGAATACGATCATGTGCAATGGCATTGCAAAACACTCATCTTTTTGTCGGGGCAATGAAATCTCTGCATGAACGATATTCGGCTCGTCTCTTCTGGGGCTCTCAAAGCAACCTGAGGCGTCTGCCTGTGGAAGCCTCATCCCTAAGCCTCTTGAAATTCCTTCGTGTGTGCTTGCCTGATTGTTGGGTGTGGTGTCACGCCTCTCCCTCCCTGCGGCTGCTTGCCGGAGGCTGCGTGACCGGTCGCGGTGAGTTGGGCGTGCGTCAGCGCGAGGTGTGCGCTAGGGCGTTCTGCGTCCATCCCCATGCGCGCTGGTTTCGCAATGATCGCCCGGCACGCAGGCCACTGAGCCTGGCACAAGACTCAACGTCCTGACATTGAACCTGAAAATCAAGGCAACAAGAACAGAGGCGACCTAGAAGATTCAGTTCTCCTTCCGGCCAAAGGTCTTTGAGCACAAGAAGCCAATGGAATCACAAGTCCGCATGTGCAACACGGGAATTTTAGAGGCTGGATATATACTGGTATTGTTCTCACACAAGGAAGAGCGAAAGGAATCGGTTGCTTCGTGAAGGATGTCGCGCGGTCAATTCATGACATGGATCATGACTGGAGCTTACTTCAGAGTCTTGTGTGGAGTACTTTCTGAGTCAAAGGATTCAAGAAGTGGTTGCGGCAAAACAACAAAGGAGTGCGCATTGCCACCAATTCTTCCTACACAGACCAAGGGAGAGCACGACAGAACCTATGTACACAAATCGTTTGCCACTATTAGACTATGAGCGCAACGTCACCAAATTCTATCAAACATTCATTGTGGACATGACGAAATTTGTGAACCGGGGTATGAAATTCATGGTTGACATCGTCACCGGCAACGCAAATTCCGCTTGCACGGGCTCAACAGCAGAAGACAGTTGGTTTCACTTTCACACTGAACATCGTCAGGGAAGGAATCGCAGAAGAACGCCAAACAAGGAGATCCTTTGAAATAACTTCTGATTTCGGCTGAGTGTGCAGCATCCAAAAATCCATTCTTGATGCACCCCTGAGATACAATTTCAAGACTTGTCTCGAGGTCGATGCATTCTATGGCGTCACTGTCCTGGACTGTCTTGCAAACCCATGTATTCCACTGGGTCTTGTCAGAACGCACGGCTTACCGATCCCCGTGCAGAGACGATTACCCATTTCCGGACCACCATGTTACTTCACAAGGACGATGCGAATTGCTGAACACCGACACCCTTCTCCTGGGAAGCGATGATTCAGACTGGCACCATTCAGTGCTAGTAAACATCGACGTCACATCCGAGAGCCAAAATGTCTCCAAGGAAGCGATCCTACGAAAACGGCAACATGACCAAGAACGTGGCCGTGCCAGCTTTTGATTCGGCTGGTCTGCTGAAAATCAATCGTTGCCATCAAAATGGCAAGATGCACAGTTCTTCCAGCGCGCGATTCAATGATGTGATGATTCAGTTCCACGGCATTTCATTTCCTGAATGCATTTCATGTTGCCTTCGGACACCCCGAAATTTTCTCACCATGATTCGCGGAGCTGTACATATCTTTCAAGTTCCAAGTCGTGTCCACAACGCCATCGCCTACAGAAGATGTCTGTGTAAGCATTTCGGAACCTCCGGTTGGGATACGCTACTGCTGCACCACTCCGCATAACTAAGACTTTTAGAGCCGATTGATAAAATTACTCTATGGCAGCGTACCCTGTAGGAACCCGTGATGCCATGAGTTGTGCCTATTTTGTTTCTTGTTTGTTCTCAGTATTCCACTCATTACAATCCCGTCTGCCATCTATTGGGCTCAAGCCAGGTTGATAGCACTTTCCAATTGACAGGAAAAAGGTGCTTCACACTTGCTGATTTGTGCAGTGGATCATAACTGCTTTCTTACATAATTGGTCATCTACCTCTTCCTTACATATTCATTCTTGATCGGAAAAGTATCCTTTTACGCGTGCATGCGTGTGCCACCCCGCCCCGCCTTGACCCGACCCGACCCGCCCAGCCCGCAAGTTTGCCCTTGGTGTGGTGGTTTCATGATGATCTAGTCACCCAATCTCTCAGCCACACAGCATGCGAGGATGCAGTGGTTTCCCTTCCTGTGGCTCTGATTCATGCGGAAAATGCCACGTGAAGCTTCAAAAGAAATCGACATTCGCGCCGGCGCAGCCTCCAGCCCAATCGACTCCGAGCCAAAACGGACATGCCGAGCCGCCCGAGTTCCGCAGGGCCGCGGCGCCGGCCTCAGTCCGCAACTTGGCGGCTGTGGGGCTTAGAGGGGTTCGTAGCATACCCCACACACTTTTCAATCAAGGCGGTCGGTATTCATACAGATTTAACAAGTGCATAAGAATATATACATATGTCTACGTACGTGTCGGGTTGCCGTCGGCCAAGCATGCCGCTGCCGAATCGATTTCCTGAGGGCGGCTTATTTGCCAAGCAATCAATATCGCGAGGTCGGTGACACTCGGAGGGGGTACTTTCCCAGCACACGGAAGAAGAGTTGGCAGGCAATTGTGCGTGTTCTGGTCTTGGAGTCGCGCCTGAAGAAAGCTTGGTCTGCGCAGCCGCTCCCGGACGACACGACGCGGCTGCGGCGGTCGTGAGAACACGAGCGAAGCTTTGCTTGCGCTGCGGGCAGCTTTGAGGAAAGGAGTCGCGCTGGCATTTGACGACTCGATTGCATTTCGCTCTGCAGCAGGCAAGCTGGAAGAATCACTTGTGTTCGACCAGAAGAATCTTGCAAAGGAGAGCAAGCGTGCGATCAAGGTTCCAGCAGGGAATAAACAATGCAGAAGATTAGGAGGCGCGCTTTGCACTGGATGGCGCCCTTAGGACGCTTTAACTCCACATCGCAACGACAGTCTTTGCTGGTTTTTAGCGCTGCTTCTCCGCAGAGCAAGCCGCAGCCGTAAGTCAAGCATGCGTGCCAGGCGAGGTGCGCGTGTCTCCAAGAGACAGCTTCGCACTCAGTGATTTGGCTGGACGTGAAAGAGTGAGAAGCTTCATTTATCTTACCTAGGAGGTTTTGCCGACGGTAAACTTGACCGATATAACACACACATGTACATATATATATATATATGTACTATATGTGAGTGTGGTGGCTTGTCGATGGCTCATTAGATATGAATATAGCCATTCTTGGTTATCAGTTTTTACTCTTGCGCCAGACTTTCACACAAACTGGGTAAAACGGTGGCTTCCACTGGCAAGAAAGTTCGGTTTGCGCGTCGGTACCAGGCAGGAACAACTCGCGAACTCGCGCATGGAGCCAGCGATCCTCGGCCCGATGCAGGAGCAACAGCTGCCCGCTGCAGAAAATGAAGCACTTTCAAAAAAAGGGCCCGAAAGGGAGAACGAGGGAGGGAGACAGAGAAAGAACAACAAGCAAGGGAAAGGCCCCAAGACAGTTTGAATCACCCAATTCGCCATTCATCTTTCGTGGCTCCCTCAGCCCAGTTCTTCAGGAATACTTGTTGTCCCTTTGTCGTTCGAAGGATCCACCTTTTTGCAAGTTGTTGCTCTTCTTAGGGTAGCGTTGTTTGCACTGTGCCCCAAACCATGGTCCTTTTTTTTTTTTGTTGCCCGTGCTGCTGTGTGCGGAGTGCAACCCCATGTTGGATGGCCAAAGAAAGCCAAACTGCGGGAAGTCACGTGCTAAACAGCCTGTAATCTGGTCTTTTTCCCAGAGACAAAGGGATTCGTACACTTTTTTTCAGGCCTTCCTCCTTTCAGACCCAGTCTAGAAAGCTCAGGCTGCTGGCCCTGGTATCTTCAGGAGCTTCACACCAACCTCCAGGCAAAGCGTAGCGCCCAAAACTGATTCCTTTGCATTTCGGTAGCTTCTGCTTCGGCATGTCCCAGGCTCCAATACAAAAGGTCGGATAGTGAGACCTACACAAAGAGCAGACCTTCACAAAGTGCTACCACGTGTAGAAGGTTGATCCCAACTCACTTGCTTTTGTGTTTGATTGGGGTCCGGAAAGTTCACTGAACCCGCTCGAGGGCGTCCAATCCCAGAAAGGCATTCTTCTAGTGGTTCTTTTTTGGTGTGGTTCCATCTCAACTTTTGACGGTGTTCTTTTTGGGTGGCACGCCACGCAAAACTTTCTCGGCAGTTCCCTCGAGCAACATGAACATGTTATTTTGACCTGTCGACTTTGTTTCTGGACACGCTGCTGCACTGGAGGGAATCTTTTGGAGTCACGGCGCAGAAAAGCCTTTGCTACTTTCGGTTTGCTTTCCTCTATTCCCTGGCGCTTCGGAAATGTTAGCACGTTTCCTATTGTGCAGTGTTCACCCGCGAGTTGAAGGGTGGCCCTGTAAGGTATGTTTGCCTTCCCTGTACCGTCCAAAGCGACGTTTTTTGCTGTTCAGTATGGTGTCCGCGATTCAACATGGGATCTGCCCCTTCACCCAAGCTGCAGCGTTCTAGGTACAACGAGTTCGACCCGCTGCAGCACGGCTCGCCCGGAGTTTCTGCCAACGGCGCTAGCGAGCCAAGCTCCCCGTCGCCCACGTCGCCGTACGCCATGGGCAGCCAGGCGCATAGCACGGAATAAACGTATACGTTTAAATAAATCATACATTTATGCATCAAGTTTGCATCTAGACCAAATTTTGTGTGCCAGCTAGAGTCAGTTGCAGAAGATTGTTTGATACAGAAATCAGTTTGGGCTGCACTGCAATTCTGGAGCCTTGCCTTTGGATACGGCACAGTTTGGCCCTCGCGGATGGATTGAAAATCGTTTTCGCCACGTTGAAGCGCCCAGGTTGCTGATCTCCAGGTCGACCCAAACAATTGAGATGAACGGAGTGACGTTTCAAGCGGAACCAAGTAATTTGCGGTGCCAGAAAGCAAAAAGGGGGATGCTGTTTCTTGTTTGGTGACCAGAGCACACAGATGAGGGCAGGGGAATCTATGCTTCAGTCCTTGCAGCATCGCGACAAAACCCTGAAGGCGACTTTCCACTCACTCTCGGAGTTCCGCACCATTGACATCTCCAAGGTGAATGAATCGCGCCATAAGTGGCAAAGGCTTGACACTTTTCAGACACCGTTCGGGCATGTGGGGGACATCGAGGATCTCACAGAGTCCCCTAAGCGGAGCAAGTCCAAGAACCATTGCTTCTTCCGATTTGAGATGCTGGAGCAGATCCAGCACGAGCTGTCAGCCAGCTTCCAAGAGATTCGACACACCTCAGCTTCGCTCTTCGAAGAGATGCGGCGCTTGCGCGCCGAGGTGCAAAGTTTTCGGGGTCAGAAGCTGGACATGGAGCAAGTGCTGCAAGTGATTCATCAGAATCAACTTCAAGCGGAGGCAAACTTCTCGGAGGTACTTGAAGCAGTCCGCCAGAAAAGGTGTGACGTCGACTTGACGGAGCTGAACTTCTCTGAGCTCTTGCAAGCGATTCAGAAGAAGAACTTTGACGCTGAGTTCATTGCCGTGCTGGAGGCCATCAAGGCGAACAAAGTGGATGTGAGTTTCTCCGAAGTGCTCGAAGCGATCCAGCAGAAGAAGGTTAATGTAGACTTCACCTCCGTTTTGGAGGCCATCGATGCCAAGAAAGTCGAGGTAAACTTCTCTGAGGTACTGCAAGCCATTCATCAGAGTAATCTTCAAGAGGAGGCGAACTTTTCAGAAGTGCTCGGAGCTATTCAGCAGACAAGGTTTGATGTGGACTTTACATCCGTCTTTGAGGCCATTGATGCTAAGGAAGTCAAGGTAAACCTCTCAGAAGTGCTTGAAGCGATCCACCAAAAAAGGTGCGATGCGGACGTTACCTCCATTTTGGAGGCAATTGATGCCAAGAAAATCGAGGTAAACTTCTCTGAGGTACTACACGCCATTCAACAGAAGAACTTTGCAGCTGACTTCAGTGCTGTCTTGGAGGCAATCAAGTCGAGCAAGGCCGAGGTGAATTTCTCCGAAGTGCTCGAAGCGATCCACAAGAAAAAGGTTGATGTCGACTTCACCTCCATTTTGGAGACCATCGATGCCAAGAAAGTCGATGTAAACTTTTCTGAGGTATTACAAGCCATTCAACAGAAGAACTTTGCAGCGGACTTCAGTGCTGTCTTGGAGGCAATCAAGTCAAACAAGGTCGAGGTGAACTTCTCTGAAGTGCTCGAAGCGATCGACGCCAAGCAAGTCCAGGTGAACTTTTCTGAGGTACTGCAATCGATTCAGCAGAAGAACTTTGCAGCGGAGTTTAGTTCCGTCTTGGAGGCAGTCAAAGCCAACAAGGTTGATATTAAATTCTCACTGCTTGAAGCCATCAACACGAAACGCTGTGATGTGGACTTTACTTCCGTGTTCGAGGCCCTGGAAGTCATAAAGGCGGACATGAACTTCGCACAGGTTGTGGACTGCAAGTTTGCAGAGATACTAAGCTCTCCTCCAGTTGTGTTTTATCTTTGGCCAAATCTATCATATCTTGGGTGTAGCCCGGAGTCGGGCTCTTGGGCCAAGGATGCAGCAGACCATTCGAGACATGAAGCTTGACGTTGACATCACCTCCATGACACAGTCCATCGAGAACTTTCAGCAATCGGTTCGCATGGATATCAAGCCTGCGCTGGATGCCATCACATCGCTGGATGCTTCCGTCAAGGCAACTGCCGAGGCACGGGTCAGCCTCGACGCAAAGCTCATCACCATCGACGACTCTTTCCTGAAGAGAGTGTTCTGACCCAACCGTTTTGCTGATAGGATTGTCCAACAGTTCAAGGTATTTCTATGCTTAAAGAGCTGGCTGACAGACCTGTCTTCCGGTTTCAGGGTGGGTTGGCACCGTTTCGACCCTGGATCTAGGATTTCGACAAGATGTACGAAAAGCTCGAAGATATCGATGGCAACGGCGAGCAGTTGAAGCGGCTGATGGATGGTGGCAACACCTCCCTCCTTGCCGGCATCTCATAAGGTGGAACTATGGTTGCGTTGTTTGTTGTTCATTGCGCATAAGGTGAGCCTTTTTGGCTTTTTGTGTTTTGAACTTTTGTTGGTTTGGTAGCCTAGTGGCTGTCCGCCTTTCTGGGTGTGTCTGTTGTTCCGGGGCTTCCGAAGCGAACAGATTGTTTGTTGGTCAGCTGTCTGTCCCTCGCCTGTCCTTGGGTCCTTGGGCATCTCCAAAAATGTTTGGCTACGCAGCGTTCCTCGAAAAGTGAAGCAGACAATCTGAAGATAGATTATTTGGTCCCCAAGTTCGGCCAAGTTTTAGGGTTGTTGCAAGTGAGGCAACTCATCCATGCTTGCCAAGATGCAATGCTACCATGAGGACGTGGGAGTTGCAAAGTGACCTCCAGTGCTCACAGGTTCGGTCAACTTTCAACCATAGCCTAGGGAATGAACGAGATTGGGCATGCTCGCCCTGCAATTTCTAGAAGCTGGACCCTCGCCAAACTCTGTCAGTAGGGCCATGGCTCACATGACGATGTTTAACTGGAGATGGAGCGACATCAGACTTATTTGGGGCTCATGTCTGACCATTGAGGGGTATTCTCCGTCCAGACTATGCGCAGCTACATCCCTGGGATGCAAACAGTCTATGTTGAGCCCTTTTCTGAAAATTTCCGTCGAAGCTAGAAGTGAGTGGTTTGGACTTCAGTAAGAGCGGTGTTTGCAACTTTCAAGACAACCTTCAGGGAAGCATGCAAACGCGACGCACGTGTCGAAGGAGTCGATGATGGAGCTGTCCAAAGTGGCGAATCATTGCCAGACTTGGCCTCTTTTTGCCCTCTTGCTTTTTGTTGCCATTGGCTTCCCGTGGCTCACGAAAAAATCCGGGGGCCTGTTCCAAGACTGGTTCATTTTGTAGGTCTCGTCTATGTACGGCCAAGATTTGGTCCACAATTTGGGCCAAGGAATGCCATGACAAGCCGCAGCCCCAGCCACGCGCGGAGCGTAAGAAGAGATGTCGTCGTCGAGAGCCATGCCGCTGCGGGGGCGGTGGCTTTGGCGACGGCGAGCGGAGAATGAGCGCAGATGAAGCCGCGCTGTAACATACTCCCAGTTCGGTGCTAAATAGACCAGTTGGATGAAAAGGTCCCAGGACCAAAGCTGAGATTGGAAATCCAGATTTGGCACCCAATTCAGTGGATTCCGGACTTCTTGTTCAAGAATGGAATCAAACTCCAAGCGGACTGCGTTTAGCAAGGTCACTGGGCTGGGTTTTGCTGTTGGAAACTTTGCCCAAAGCGACCCGATCTGGACAAATGTGTTTTGTGTGGTTCCAACTCTTATCCATGTTTAGTCACTGTCCCACATGGTTCACCTTGGACGCTTTGGACAAGCGAGCTGGCGCAGGCTCTCAAAGAGAGACGCCACTGAGGTCCTCAAAAGGGGTGAAAAGAAAGCGGCGCGTTGGCTCCGATCAACTGACGGCCCTATTTGAGTGGGCCCAACTGTCTAGAGTTGAAGGGGGTTGCGCGGTGACAAAACTGAAGCTGTCTCCTCCAAAACTAGTTTATCTTTTTGGCAGAGTCGGACATTGTCCTTTTTGGAGTAACCTAGTTGTGGGGCCAAGGAAAGTTTGGATGCTCTAAAGTGCCCCGCAAATTCTGGCTCAGCTTGGCACTTAAGCAAACCCGCGTTGCAAGCGCGTTGCTTGCGCTCAAGCCAAAGCCTTACATGCACATTGGCCGCAGCCGAACCCATGGGCAAGCTAGCGCGCGGCTTGGTGGACAATTGGCACCTTCGATGGATGCCCTAAACATTGCAAGCAAGGGAAATTAAGAGCATCCGCCGTTGCCAGAACGAAAATCACTGGGCAACAGCTCCCCTATGTACAAGCCTCCTGCAGGACCCGTTAGATGCGTCCTTTCAGCAGCTCTGGGTTGGAGTGATGGGCGGATGTTAAAAGCCCTGATTGGAGCCCAACTTGAGATGTTGCAAAAGCAAAAAGGGGGAAGCAAGGCAATACGTTTGCAGCATTAAAGTGCCTCGTGGTTTGTAGGGATGGGCATCAACCCAGTAGCGATACCATGGACATTGGGCTTGCACTTCACAAAACAACTGCACAAACCAAACAAGACAAAACATAAACATGGTGTGCATTGTTTTTTCTTCGTAAAGGCCCAACCTTAGCTTTGACAATGGCAATATGTGAGGTGGCCCAGCATGTAGCCTAAGCTAGAGAAGAAAAAACGTCTTTTGGGAAGACAGGGTCCCTTAGTGAATGCCTGTGACCAATGAAGGCACCATTGCCAGCTGATTTGGAGGATTCCCTTGGCTGCATCAATCTTTGTGTGTTTTTGCGTATTGACATATCCTCTGCACAGGTGGTGTTTGGATAATACATCCTTTCAGATTCAGCTCCTCAGCAGCGACCCCCGAATCACAAGCGAAGCTAAGGACGGACGAGCGCCAAAGCTTTGGTGGATACTGAGCTGATTTGGACGCCGTTCGTTTGACCCCCCGGATGGTGCAAATGGCCTGCTGGTTGTCCTTATTTGAACCTTGCGTTTTTTGGCTGCCAACACTTGCCTAGGTGTTCTTATGCAGCTCACAATTTTGTGTAAGCTGGGGGGGCATCATATTGCCCGTTTCTGGGGGTGATTGAAGTCAGCGATGGGGGTTGTTTCTTTTTCATCTACCACCTAGGGGAACATCATGGTGCCAATAAAATGGTCAGTTCCTCCCGCACAGTGTGCGGATCGCAAGTCTAGATGACAGCTGGCTTCGAGGCCGGCGCTTCAAGCTAAAGGCTTCCCTTGCGCATGTGTTGGTGCCGTGTTTTTCCAATGGTTTGATGGGCCCGAAATCGTGTTCCGTTGCTTTTTGACCAGCCAGGGTCATTTGTTCGCTACCATGCTAGGGGATTCATCGTCAAGTAACATAGCAGGTGTGGTTTTTTGGAACCAGACACCGGGTGCAAAAACGTAAGTCTCGCGGAATCGATTTGTTGAGTAACCCTCAGGTTGCCTAGGGGAGCCGATAGGACAGCCACGATATTAGGCTTGCCACCTCCCCGGCGGCCAATTGCATGGTGTGCCCCCGAAGTCGGTGAAATGGTTCCTCAATCGGCTGCGGGGATAGGTTTAAATGTAAGAGGATCCCGTAGGTTGCTTGAACAGAAACCGCGAGGAAGACCAATGGCTCCTGTTCCAGTTGTATACCTGGGGTCTCTTCTGATGAGACCCCCTGAAATGTACTCAATTGGACCATCCAACATTGCAGCAACAGTTGAGGTACCTTCAAAGACAAACCCACATACTCTTTTGCCAACTAGTCAAGACAGCTGGCAGTGGTTTTACCGTTACCGTCCCAAAGCTCCAGGGCAACTTCGACTTTTACGTTTCCATAGGCCCTACCAATGTCCTTTCGGATCACTGGGAAAGTGCGAAAATCCCAAGTCCAGCCCTTGGACTTGGGAAGGCCCCTCGCGTTCCATGTTGTTTGCTTTCAGGAGCAGGCCAAGGCTGCCAAAGACTCAGGCCGGCTTTGTCGATTTGCTTGGGTCAGTAGAAACCATGAGCTTCCAAACAGGAAATTGGTTGAAGGACCGAAGACAAATTGGCCAAGTGTTGGGCCAGAACTGAGAGGGGGGATGTTTTGGTCAGTGCGCATGGGAAGTTTTTGTTTTGGTCAGCGGACATGGGCCCTGTTTGGACCTCATTTGCAAAGCAAGAGGGGGGAGTCACCTTATGCAAAACGGACACGCCTACCACAGATTGCAGCATGTAGTCTGCACCAATAGCGAGCTAACTTGGCTCGTGATAGAGGTCGAATCCTTACTTAAGAAATCCTCAACACAGGTCGGCCAATATAGGTAGCTGGGCTGTACGAAGGCAATCCTGCATCCGCACCTGGGTTTCGAAAGGGCCCGTTGTGCCAGCAGGGGTTATGGATCGGCCACTCCATTTTGAGCAGCCCAGATTGCAGTAGCTGAATGGGAACGCCAATGGCCGCTTGGTATATATAGGTCCGGCCAGAACCACACAGCCAGCTTGCGAGAATGTCAAAGCCATCGGTCTCCCCCCCCTTCCCCCCCCACAAAAGGAACAAAAGAGGTTGGAGCCTGGTTTCTCTAAGCCAAGCAGGGTTCTCCCAAACTGTTGGCGACCGTGCCCCGTCTGCAGATCAGGCGACAGCCACGGTGCTGCAGAGCTGCTGCAGAAGGCCGCCCGTGGAAAGGGAGCGCAGGCGGAGGCGGGAGAGGGACGTCACCCGATGGAAGCTTTTGGCTGGAACTTGTTCCTGACCCCAAAGGTACCGTCGCTTCAGAAATCTGCAAGATCCTGCCAGAACCGTTTCTGGACCCTGACTGACATGGCTTGAAGCCATGCAAAGCGTCTGCACTCATGCTCAATCACTAGGCTTCCATGGCTCCCCTTGCAAGAGATGTTTGTCATTTTCTGGTTAGACGCACTATTTAACACCCAGCTGGTGAATGGAACTCGGTTTTGATGGAAGTCAGGTAGCTCGTTATGAGCTGGCCCTGCTGAACGCCCAGCTGGGCCGACACGAGGAGAAGAGCGCACGACCGAGATGGGCGCCAAACAAAGGTGTCCATTTGCTTTGAGGCCTGTTCCTGGGTTTTTGGTCGCGGCCCCAGACATAAAAGCCGTGCGATTTGCTTGTTGGATGTGTCCAGTTGCCTCAGGTGGCCGTGTCCTTGTTATTCTTTGTTTGAGTGCCTTCTGGACGTGCCCGTTGCCCACTTGCTTGAGGCCTTGGTGTGTCTTTCCCTGTCCCCTCCTGCCAGCGTCTTCTGTGTGTTTCCATTTGCTTATGCTGGTTTCGCCTTTTTGCTCAGGTTGATCCTTGTTTTCCTTCCCATGCGTGAGGTATTTGGGCCTTGTCGGCTTTCGCTGTTGGATGTGTCAACCTGCTTCTGACGTTTTGCCTTCTTGGCTTTTCCCTGTTTGTTGCGTCCATTTGCATATGGTGCTTAACATGCTTGCCCCTGTTTTTGTTTCTTGCAACATTGCGATGGCTGGTAATATGTGTTTACCCCGCAGCATAGGCAAATTCGTGTGTTTTTTTGATCCCCCTCAACCACCACCATCCAACCTCTGCTTGGTTTGTACCATTTCGTGGCATCCACAGCCTGAGCTCACGAGACAAGGCGAGGAGTTGGGTCAAATTATCCTTTCTATTTTTAAGCTCACTGGCCCAGACGGAGATTCCGTGAAGCATGGCACTCTTGCCTGGTTCAGGATCTAATCTCACCCTTCAATGAAGGGAATATTCAGGCGAGGTCTGTGTGGAGGTAGACCACTTCCATGCTTAGCTGAGCTCGGCCCTTGACACTTCACCCAAGAAACTCCCTCCGGTTGTTTTCCGCTGACAAGACTCCTTTTTTTGCACTGGCGGACTTACCTCTTCGGCGTTTTGCCTTGTTGGCAAACCCGCCCTCCCTTTCAGCCAACAAACAGTGGGTCCAACGAAGGGAAGGAACTGGGAGGTATGTGTCCAAATTGGGGTTCTTCGTGGGGTACGCAGTTTGCTGAATCTGCACAGGAGGCTGACCGTTGGCTGCGCTCGCTGGGCTTCACGTGGAAGTGCCTCTCATGTGCAAAACATCGCTGTTTGGCTGTTCGGGGATTTGTCCAAGAAAGGGCGATTCCGGGGGCCGTTTTTCAGGGTCCGATTACCTTCATTCAAAGGATGGCCACAGTGTGGGCCTTCTTTGTGGGGGCGACCTCATTAAACCCCAGTTGCCAGAATGCCATAGCAAGCAGGGTGACCAGGGGTGTTGCGCCCCCATTGGCCAGAAACCGCGAAGCGATAGATCCACTGCTTCAAGTTGACGGGCAGAAAATCCTGATATTCTGGTCTTGAGTTCTTGGCTTCTTTCGTTCTGTTTCACTTTTGGAGATGCAAAACGCAAAGAGCAGACAGCTTGTTTGGCTTACAGTGGAAAAAACATGGTGCATGCCTCCAAGTGGCTTTCCACCCTGCCAAAAACTGGCTGTAAATGCTTTCACGAACACTCCTTGGCGACAAACCCAGCTTTCCATTGACCTGTGCTTAACAGCATCGGGGCTCATGTGGGGCTCCTTAAAAGATACATTTTGCCCATTTGAAACGTGGTTTTTATGAAAGGAAACCACAATTTAAAAGGCAACGTTCAGGTGTATAATGTAAGGATCCCTGATAAGTGGGGTTCAAGGCTCAGCCCGCAGCTGTTGGACGGCACCGCCTTGGCCGGTCCTCGTTGCGCAGGCGCCAACGTTCCGATAAGTTTCCTGGGGGAGGGGTCCTCGGTGTGTAGGTGAGAGGCAGAATTTGCACCCCAACTTGTGACACCAAATGGCAAGCTACTCTTAAGGCCAAGGCAGGGGCAAGGCAAGCGCTAGCCCTTCGGAATTCGCCAAGTCCTCCTTCGTTTTTCAATGCTGGTTTTCTGGATTTCCTCAAACAACCCAGTTGTGCTGGGGCGGGAAGAGCCTGCCTCTCTGATAGCTTGTCCAGAAAAGCACAGTTGGTGGTTTGGATTGATGGTTTGGACCAATCCAAACCACAAATTAAAGGGAAACTGAACATAAATTTGCGGGATTCGATTGGAGCTGGAACAGCTCTTTACGCGCAACCTTTCGACAATGCAGGTTGGTTCCACAGGGGGACCATTGCCGTGGCCAGGAGTTGTTTGGACCCATGCCCACGAAAACTCAACCGTGCCCCGATTCGGGCGATCCTAAAACCATTCGGACAAACGGCTCGACGGTTTTAACCTTTTGCCTTTTTGGTTTTCTAAAGCTGCCCCTTTCAACCAGCAACGCGACTGGCGCTCGGATTCAAATGGCATCTACGGATGGTTCGACGTAGCCGTGTTTGCGAACACATCGATGGAAGCAAGAAGCCGGCTTGGAAGTCTACGTCCGTCGAAGCTTGGAAGATAAGCTTGCTGGTTCGCAGCAGAGAATGGGGGACTGACCCCTATAAACCATCCCCCTATGGTTTCCTCTACCCTCCCACCGACTAACATAGAAGTGCACAGACCCCTGTCAAAAGACTACTTTCCTCTTGGAAAAGGGGATTGTGCACTTCCATGTTAGTCGGTGGGTAGGGGAATCTCCGCAGGTTCATTCCCAAAACACTGGCTCGCTTAGGTGTGTTTCGTTAGTTTGTTTAAAAAAGGAAGGCACTGGTTTAGATGGGTTTCATTTCATTTACCAGGGCCATCTATTTGTCCAAAAGGCCACCTATGCTGACTCGGTTTCTTCCCAACCTATCGCAGCCATAGGCGAGGAGTTCCAAGTGGTGGCCTTCGACCATGCGCTGCCCGGAGAGCTGCTGGCGACCTTGCAGGCGACCGGTTCGCTGGCCGGGACTTAAATTAGGGTTATCAGACAGGAGGGGCTTCAGCAGAACTAAAACAAACTCAAAAAACAGCTCAAAAACAACGCAGCCAAACAACTCAACTGAAAACACAGACTCAACAAGAACAGACCGAAAACATTCCCAGGCGGCAGTTGTCCATTTCCCCGAACTGGGCCAGGTTGACACCTTTCACCCTTACAAGGGCGAAATGCCGACTCACCTTGGCACGTTGATCTTTTTAAAAGCTCGGCCACAAAGGTTCTGAATGAACGGATTTGCGTAATGCAAGATGTTTGCAGAAGATGTGCAGAAGGTTCTTTTTGCGGTTCTGTTTGTGCTCGCTGTTAGTGGTCCATGGGGCCGGCCCAACCTTGTCATTTGTCATCCCCGGTTTCCCTGAATCCCTTGTCGTTGGGGATCTAAAGATGATCAACCCAAGTCATGATTTGTTTAGCTCAGCCCGAACAGGTAGACAAATATCCACACTTCGTATGATCGATATGTTTTGCCTTCCTTTCGTTGGTCACTGGTTTCGGGCCGCCTTTCTTCGCCCAACTGCTGCGCGCTGCCGCCAGGCAGCAAAGTCGATTTGGTCGCGATGTCCGGATGAACACCTTCCCCCTTGGTTTGGATTGCTTGGAACTTAGCGGATAGATTTCCCCTACACGTTCAAAAGGAAGTCACCAACCCAACCTACCGCAAAGAGGGCGGGCTTGTGATAGATGATTGCCATGAATCGCGGATCATATCTCTTGTGATTCATTTTGGTCAAGCTCCTTTCCCACCAGCCAGCTGCTTCAATCAGGTGCAAGCTGATTTGGTAGGGGAAACATCTAAAGCTCATTTCTTTATTTTTGTGTGGATTCCACGCAAGATTCTTAGCTGGTGCACTCGACTGTCAGGACGCCTTCGGCCCGGGCGCCGCGTTTTGGACGGAGCAGCTCGCGGGAACTGTGCTGAGAAAATGGGGAATGGCCGGCGGTTGGTTTGGTTTATTGGCAGACCCAAAGGAAAACCACAGTTTGTTGATTTGGTGGGTCCCTGAAGCCAAGAAACCCGAGAAACTGGAGCATGGTCTTGCTTGATTCCCATGGATTTGTCAACCCCAACCTACTTGTTGAAACTGCCCCTGAGCCAAAAGATAAAAAGGAGGCCCGAAACCGGATTCCCCCAACCTTCTCCTGGCGCCCATGCTAACTTTTCGTACACGGGCAACGAAAAGCCAAGGTTCGAAGGTTCGAAGTTCACCGGCTCCTTCACGCTAGGCACGGCTACCCGACGGAGAACTTCTTCTCCTACAACCAGCCCCTCGCGGAGCTTTGGGCTGAACGGGTGTGCCCATGTTTTAGGGAACTCCCCTTTGGCAGACTCTGAACATGTGTTCCGCGCCCCAGATTTCGGACAAGTTTGGTTCTGGCGGCCTGCTGCCGTGATACCAGAGTCACTGGGCGGTTGGTTCTGCGCACTCGCAAAAGAAGCGCTCCAATCCTTTTTTGTGAATCATGGGTAAGGTCCCACAGACCCGACATGAACACGCCAACCACGTAGAGGCCATAGGTATTTGTGCTTTGCTCTTGTTTGGTTGGGCGGGTGTTTGCCCAGGATGACCCTTGCACCATCGCTATTCAAGGTGCAGGGGCGGATCTTGTGAAATGATGAGGCGGGGATTGACAACGCCCTAGTTGATGGAAGGGACACTTGCTGGATCAGTAGCATTCACGCAGCAATCGGCAGACGACTGTCAAGCAATCCAGGATTTTGTCCTGGGGCTATCCAAAGGAGTCAGTCCCCTTCCTGGCGTGGTTTGGAATTGGCTGAGAGCATGCTTTGGAGGCAATCCCTTCTCATGCACCCTTATAACCCGCCTGGCTTTCATTTTCACTCGAACTTGCCTAGCCCAACAGCCCCAAAGGATGTTGAGTGGTTTAAACATCACCTTCACAACCCGTTTGGAAAGAGATTTCTGGCGTGATGTTTGGGGAACCCCCAAACTTTTTGTTCAATAAAGCACTTGTGGAACCCCTCGCCTTCTAAGGAACCCCACCAAAGTGTTCGCACTTGGGACGCATGAAGCCCTATTGGACAACCACCCTTCCTGGTGTTGCTCAAAATGGGCGTGCACAGGACCCCCAAGATGCGTGTTGTTTCATTTGGCTTCCCACCAAAAAGAGGCTTTGGGGACCAACCCATATTAACTCCGAGCCATGGGCATTCCCGCTATGGCCCTGGTCACTTGGTGAAGTTACTAACTTGTTCCGGTATCCCAGGTTATCCCCGAATTCTAAGTCAACCGTTCAGTGGAAAAAACTTTGTTGAAGGGTACATTTGGCTAGCCACTTGCTAACTTGGCAACGAAGATCCAAGCAGTTCCCAACCGACAACAGCTGGCGGACGGAGGATGAGGGAGCGCTGCCGGCGGCGGCGCGCTGCCTCGAGGCGCTCGCGCAAGACGCCTTCCGCAGCGCAGGCTGGCGCAAAAAAGGAAAACGGTGCGGGGGGTCTCATCAACGCTTCTTGTGGATATTCGGTTGGGTCTTTGGACTTCAACTTTTCGGGAAACAGTGATTCTTGTTCATGGGACCTACAGAAAGTTCAACTTTTTGCGGAGGGGTCGGCGGCAACCAAGGATGTGGATTCTCAAAATTTGATATGGAACCCACGAAGCGGGAGCGGGGGTGTGATTTCAAGGGGGTGGTCGAAATTGAAGCTGGGGGCTGGGGCGGGGGCAGGGTAGTTCGGTTATTCCAAGTAAAATCCTGCAATCGGCTTCCCCAAGTGAGTGAGAGACACTGGGATCGTTTCCCTTAAACCTGCCATTTGGGCAACTTGGGTAGGTTTTCCTTTGAAATTGGATCCCTCAAATGAAATCGATCAGCTCGCGAAGGTGTTGGTTTGCCACGATGTCATCGCGGGTTGCTTTCAGAGAGTTGCTTCCAATTGCCAGTGCAGGCGGCCACGAGAAACCATCCTTCAACACCTAAAGGTAAGAGAGAATCCGGTTACCTACTAGACTTTCAACTGGAACCACTAAATGAGAGATTACGCCCTGGTGATGCAAGAGGTTCCTCTCTGACAGGAGTCCTTAGGGCTTTAGGGGATTTCAACAACCCCACGGGCTTCGGTTTCCCTTCGCTTCCTTCCTGTTCCCAACACAAGGCACAGCCCCGAATCTCTTTCAAGGTCAATCAGTGTCAGCTTCCTGCCGTTTAAAGGGCCTATCCGATTCAAATTGCCATGGTTTGGTGGGATAAAGGCCCCTCCGATTCCCGCGAGATGCCTGTGACACGATGTGTCATTGTTTCTCAGCTGGCTTCTCTTGGTTGAGACGGGCATGTTCATGTGGGGCGCCTCGTGGGTTCTTTGGGCAATCCTTTTTTGGGGTTGGCCATGGCTCCCGTTGCCCCCGGATCAACCATCAAATTGGCCGGGGTTTGGTGACATATCGGAAGCACACCTGCGAAGGGAGGCAAATGGTTGAATCACTTTGGCGGTGAATGTTTTACCTTGTTCTCGGGAAGGGTTTACTTTTCATGGAACCTCAAGACCCGCCATTTGTAGGAGGAATCTCCTTTTGGGGCACTGCGTTGTTTCCTTTTTGCATTTGTTTCGGTGAATTTGTTGGGGAGTTCTTCACACCCAAGCGATCGGAACGTCCGTGATTTCCGCTGGCCGTGAGGTGAGCTCACCTCAGTGGACGCTCGCCGGGGAAATTTGTTTTAAGGGATATCAGAGAGAGATCCCTCCCAGTAGCGTTGGAGGTTTGGCTCGGTCACCGGCAGTGGTAACTGGAAGCACTTGGTAAGGATATGATATGTGTGTGGGACACGGGGGTATTAACCATTTTTTGTAGTGCCAAAAAACAGCAGCTTGTTTTCGGACCAGTTTGGGTCATTGCATGAACGCAACCTTTTGCCGGGCTTGGTGATTTCTCAGGGGGGCCCATGAGTTCCATGTTTTGTTTCCGAGTGCTCGGGTCCATGCGACTCTTTACCGGTACAGTGGTGCAGGAAGAAGGAAGCCTAGGTGTTTTTGCCTACTCATCGCACGGGTGTCAACATCTAGGCACTCCTTTGTCTTGAGCCGCTTCGTTTCTGGTTGCCTGACTTGGGCAGAATTGTCGAAGCGTCCTCCTTTCTTTGTCCAGCTTTCTTGGTTTGGAAGCATCCCTCATCCTTTTTGCTAGAGTCCTGCTTTCTCTGCGCAGTTCCCCCCAAAGCAAGAAAGGCGAGGGTTTTATCACCCCCTTTGCTCATGGGGAATGGTACCAGCTTGGTGTACCCTCCCTCCAACACGCATGGAAGATCATGGAAGCTGACGATGGGGTATTGGACGGCTACTTTCCTTTCGGAAAAGCTTTTTGTCCACTTTTGATTGTTGCTCTCACTCCCCGAGTTCCTAGACTTCAGTTACTCTTGGATATTTTCACCATTTTAGCGGCACATACACACTTTGCACCGCTTTTGTTTATTTTGCCAGCCCGCTCCGGAAGTGCGCGCGCGTGTGTGTGTGTGTGTGTGTGTGTGTGTGTGTGTGTGTGTGTGTGTGTGTGTGTGTGTGTGTGTGTGTGTGTGTGTGTGTGTGTGTGTGTGTGTGTGTGTGTGTGTGTGTGTGTGTGTGTGTGTGTGTGTGTGTGTGTGTGTGTGTGTGTGTGTGTGTGTGTGTGTGTGTGTGTGTGTGTGTGTGTGTGTGTGTGTGTGTGTGTCTGTGTGTCTGTGTCTGTGTGTCTGTGTGTGTGTCTGTGTCTGTGTCTGTGTCTGTGTCTGTGTCTGTGTCTGTGTCTGTGTCTGTGTGTGTGTCTGTGTGTGTCTGTGTCTGTGTGTGTGTGTGTGTCTGTGTGTGTGTGTGTCTGTGTCTGTGTGTGTGTGTGTGTCTGTGTGTGTGTGTGTGTGTGTGTGTGTGTGTGTGTGTGTCTGTGTGTCTGTGTCTGTGTCTGTGTCTGTGTCTGTGTCTGTGTCTGTGTCTGTGTGTGTGTGTCTGTGTGTGTGTGTGTGTCTGTGTGTGTGTGTGCGTCTGTGTGTGTGTCTGTGTGTGTGTGTCTGTGTGTGTGTGTGTGTGTCTGTGTGTGTGTCTGTGTGTGTGTCGTGTGTGTGTGTGTGTGTCTGTGTGTGTGTCTGTGTGTGTGTGTCTTGTGTGTGTGTGTCTGTGTGTGTGTCTGTGTGTGTGTCTGTGTGTGTGTGTCTGTGTGTGTGTTTGTGTGTGTGTGTGTGTGTGTGTGTCTGTGTGTGTGTCTGTGTGTGTGTGTGTCTGTGTGTGTGTCTGTGTGTGTGTGTGTGTGTGTCTGTGTGTGTGTGTGTCTGTGTGTGTGTGTGTCTGTGTGTGTGTCTGTGTGTGTGTGTCTGTGTGTGTGTGTCTGTGTGTGTGTCTGTGTGTGTGTCCTGTGTGTGTGTGTGTGTCTGTGTGTGTGTCTGTGTGTGTCTGTGTGTGTGTCTGTGTGTGTGTGTCTGTGTGTGTGTGTGTGTGTGTGTGTGTGTGTGTGTGTGTGTGTGTGTGTGCGTGTGCGTGCGTGTGTGTTGTGTGTGTGTGTGTGTAGTTAGGTTATGTGGTGTGTTGTGGTGTGTGGTGTGTGTGTGTGTGGTGTGTGGTGTGTGGGTGTGTGGGTGGTGGGTGGTGTGTGGTGTGGTGTGTGGTGTGTGTGTGTGTGTGTGTGTGTGTGTGTGTGTGTGTGTGTGTGGTGTGTGTGTGTGTGTGTGGGTGTGTGTGGTGTGTGTGTGTGTGTGTGTGTGTGTGGTGTGTAGTGTGGTGTGGGTGTGTGGTGTAGGTGGTGTGTGTGTGTGTGTGTGTGTGTGTGTGGTGTGTGTGTGTGTGTGGGTGTGGGTATGGGTGGGTGGGTGGGTGTGGGTGTGTGTGTGGGTGGTGTGTGGGTGTGTGGGTGTGGGTGTGTGGTGTGGTGTGTGGTGTGTGGTGTGGGTGTGTGGTGTGTGTGTGGTGTGTGTGTGGGTGTGGGTGTGGGTGTGGGTGTGGGTGTGGGTGTGGGTGTGGGTGTGGGTGTGGGTGTGGGTGTAGGGTGTGGGTGTGGGTGTGGGTGTGGGTGTGGGTGTGGGTGTGGGTGTGGGTGTGGGTGTGGGTGTGGGTGGGTGGGTGGGTGTGGGTGTGGGTGGGTGGGTGGGTGGGTGGGTGGGTGGGTGGGTGGGTGGGTGGGTGGGTGGGTGGGTGGGTGGGTGGGTGGGTGGGTGGGTGGGTGGGGGTGGGGGTGTCTGTGTCTGCGTCTGTGTCTGTGTGCCTTTGTTTGAGTCGGTACCCTTTTCGGGGTTTCTTAAAGGGAGCCAGAACCTGAAACCGAATAGCCGTCCAGCGGTAAAACAAGGAACGAACAGGGTGTCATTTTTTTGGGGGCTGCAGTCAGAACGAGGAACCTGCCACATGACCCACCCCCCAAAACCGCCACATGACCCACCCTCCCCCGCCCCACTCCCCCGCCCCCTCAGCGCCCCTCACGGGTTCGTTCCCCGCGCGGAGCCCAGGAGTGGTGGGCCCATCTGCGGCCCGCGGGGAGCGGCAGCGGCCACCAGCTGCACTTCGACCTCGACGAGGTGGCCTTGGCCCAGGCGACGCGGTACGCGACGGACTCGGTACTCGCGGTCGCGGTGGTTTGAAGGGGAAACCCAAGGTGAAAAACCTACCATATATATGTTTCTTTCTTTCTTTGTTTTTTTCTTTTTTCTTTTTTGGGGGGGTGTATGGGGGTGTATTTTTTTGGGGGGGAGGGGATATATGTTCTTTTTTTTGCGGGGGTCCAACCTCAAGAAAAGACTCACTTCATGGGCTCAAGGACTTTAAGCACTTTTGGGGGTTTGGATACTTTTGAGTTGACAACAAGCAGTTTGGTGAGTGTTTTTGGACCATCGCCAGTCAGGAAGTGAGCTTCACTCAGTTGCCCAAAGCCGACCTTTCATCTTGTGGTCCCCGTTCGGTCCAACGAGTCAAGGTCCCAACAGGTCAATCTTTAACTTGCTTGTCCCTCAAGGGCAAGCGAGTTGATGTATCAACAAGGTGGCTGGGTGGCTTGCAGTTTGCTTGGTTTGGGGGGGAGGGGCGTCCTTTTGAACTCAACCAAGGGGCCATGTTTGTTAGTCGTTACGTGGGGGTTCACCCGTTTCACCCGTTTTTCGCCTGATTTTTTTGCTGCAAAGGGGCAGCGAAGTGGAATGCCTGCTTCTTCACTTGCTTTTGGGAAGGATGTCCCAAGTCAACCAGCCTAAAAGGGTGCCATTTTGTGTTTTGCCGATGAGAATCCACTGGGCTTCCTCTTTATGCCCCGACTGGCCAGCTTGGCTGCTTGATTGTAAGCCTTAACTCGGCAGAGGTTGGATCTTCAACCTGTAGCTGTGGGGGAAATGAGTTTGTTTCCCGCGAATCCAGAAAATTTTGATTATTACTTTTTCGCGCGCACCAAGATATTGGAAACAAACTTGAAAGGATCCTATGAGAGTCCTTGGACCCGAAAAAATCCCAAGGACTGCGTCACCTGAAAGCAACGAAAGTGACCCCAAGAGCCTCCAAGTCATCCTGAGAAGCCTTCAAGCCACCTGGGTCCTCAAAAAAGTGCCCTTCCCAAAACCTTTCGCCTTTTCTCCGATTGTTTTGTGCCTTCTAAAATCCAGAGCTGACAAGTGCGCCGTACTTGCTGCCTTCCTCTACGGAAGCGTCTCCTCGCGCGATTTCTCTCCAACCATGGATCCGGAGCCGCTTTGGATGGGGGGGGGGGGGCCAAACCACGCCTGCCCCTTTGGGCTTGGCACTGCGCGCTGATGAGGCCTGCCAGCCGAGACATCCGCTGATCTCCTGCGTCCTCTACCTCAGAGCCATGGCTTATGGGTCGACTCGCGCAGAGAGCTTGCAACCCATGGGCTTGGAACTTGAAGTCTCGAACATGTTGGAGTGGCATTCCGATGCAAACTAACGGTGGAACCCAAAAACAACGAGTTCTCAACAGGAGCTTCTACAACTTAGTGATGGTTGGTGAGGTTCAGGTAAACATCAGACAGAGTATTTTTGGGGTCTCCGAAGATGTGGAGCCCAGACGTTGCTGTCCTTTTGGTTTCCCAGACAAAGAGTCCAGAGAGAGGTAGCTCCTTCCCATGGATGGCGGTCCTGTTGAAACGACCTGAAGCTCACTGCTTCGCCCAATGCGTTTGCTTCTTTGAACGCCCATGTGTTCTGACAAATTCCCTGAAAGGGACGTTGCTTCACGAAACGTTCCATTGGCTGAGGCGCGAATGGAGCGACCAGGAGCGCGACCATGGCAGGGGCCCAAACACTTGGAGAGCACCGATTTTCCCGGCAAAAGCTTGGAGGGGGGCAGAATGCCTCGAATGGGAACCCCCCCCCCCAAGTTGTCGATGTCCTCTTGGTTTTCCGTTGGAAGTACCTAAAGCGGTTGCCAAAAGAAAGGCAAAACCCGTAATGGCCACCAAAAGATGGGGAAACTACACCAGGCTAAATATAGACGGCCTATTTCCTTGATGCCCATGGGCAAGGAGGATGATAAAGCCCTCTCAATGGGGAGGTTGCACCATTCGCTGAACCGCAATGGTCCCGGCAGAGCACAAGGCGGAAAGGCATCTGTGTTTTACCTGTAGAAGTCTCTTCTGTTGCTGATTGCTGGTTGCGCGTTTGCAGATTGAGCGGAGCCAGCGTCTTCAGCTGTGCAGGTGTTGGCTCCTGCTTCGCACCGTCAGCACCCAGGTCCAAGGCTCCATGTTGCTGTGTAGGTCGTGCACCTGGCCCCAAACCCGGGCATGTCGGTTTTCCGCTCAAAAACCAAAAAGCCATTTTTAGGGGAACTATTTCCCATGTTCGGGGCAGCTCTTTGGCGGTAACTCCGCCCCAGCCCCCAGCCCCCCCCCGTATGGTGACACTTAGGGTCTATTTTGCAACCTCCTTCTTTTAGTCCTTTAGGGCATTGGTTTTTTGAGGGTATGGTTGCAAAATAGACTCTAGGTGTCCATGGCACCCCGGCCCCAGCCCCTGTCCCCAAGTGGAGGGCTGCCGTGAGGTCACGGATCAGAGCCTGGAGCCCAACAGCCGCGCGCAGCGGGCCTGGCTCTGTGAGCCGCGCGTAAACCGAGCCAGGGGCCCCAGCTATGGCACACGGGTGCCAGGGAGGCTGTGTCCCATGGATTTGCAAGCCGCCCCCCCCAAAAAGAAAAAGCGAGCGGCTTCCCTTAGGGTTCCAACTCAAAAGCCACTGGCAAGGGGCCCCCCTCATAGGATCCACAGCCAGCGGCTCCATGGCAACTTGAAAAGGCCCTGAAAACCCGGGAAGGGGGGACGGGGTGAATTTCGCCCAGGCGCTGCTGTTCAACGGCGCCCTGCTGCACGGGGTGTTGCCCATCCTTGGAGCCGCTGAGGCCTGATCTCACAAGAGCGGGAACTTTCGGTTTTTTTTTGAGTTGACACCACGCTGGTTTCGCAAATTGCTTCGTGCATCTTCTCCGGATCTGATCGATCCCACACTGTGACAGGTCCCCATATCTTTCCTCCCCCTTTGGGGCCACTCGTTTCTGACGTTCTCTGGGCCAGATTTTTCGGGGAACTGGGGCCTTTCAAGGCTCCAAGCCCGGGGTTTTGGGTACGCAACGGCCGAAGTTGGGAGGCGGAGCCGCGGATCACACTGATGCTGGGCCTTTGGGCGTCGAATCCCTGCTGCCGCATGGCTCTTACGGGGTACAACTGGGCTGACTTAAGGAGTCCCCGTGTATCGCAGGGTGGTGTTTGACTGCATCCTTCAAGTAGTTAAGGAATCCCTGCGCCCTTCAAGAATGGAGTTGAGGGAGGCGGGTGGGGGCGGCCGTCGGATGGATGAAGCAGCCCCCAAAACACCGGGCCCACTTTTCGCACACTTTGAGTACGAAGTGGCTTTCTGTTACTGCAAAGCTGAACGCAAAACACGGGTTTTTGGTTGAGCCAAACAGGGCCTCTACAAAAGCATTGCTCTAAAGGGCCCGACATCGCAATGTCCAGTGCTCATTCATCCCGTGGAATAGGTGATTTCCCTGGCGCTCAGTCAAATCCATTTTCAGGCTAGGTGTGGAACTTGTTTCTACTTGGCACGTGGTCCTATCAGCGGTGAATTTGATCTCGGGGTACAAATTGGATGTAGATGAGTGGGTTTATATTGGATGGTTCTTTGCATATCTTTTCATTCCTTTCTTTTTCATTCATTTGTAGAGTTAGGATGTAACCAAGAGATGGATAAGGGATGATGTGGGGAAGGATGATAATGATAGGCGAGACGCCGTGAGATGACCTTCCCAACATCCCCCATCTCTTTTCTCTTCCTGTCCCTCTATTCGTTTCCTCATCCATCATCTCTCTACCATCGATTGGATGAGTGAACGAGAGGCGCGAGAGAAGGAAGAGAAGAGATGGCCATTCCTTCATACCTTCATGCCTTTCCATTTCTAGTCTTTTATCCCTTTCTTTTTCATTTGGAATCTTAGGCATGAAGGAAGAAGGAAATTAATAGCAAAGAGAAGGGAATGGACAAGCCCATCAACTAACCAGCCAATCCATGAAAAAGGCTGGCATAAAGGCTTGTCATCTCATCTCTCCATTCCTTTCCTTTGTCTTCCTGCTTCTTTATCCTTCACGTTTCCTCGCTTTTGGAGTTCACCATCAATCTTCATTCATATTATTTGCTTAGGTTAAAGGGAATTAATGCTTCATGGATTTATAGATGTGGCAGTTAGAAGAGATATAGCCGTTCCCTCTGGTCTCTTCAGAAGTCTTCTTTAGTAAAAACCTTGACATGTCATGCCTGGCATTCCATCCCTTAATTTGGATTTTTAGAAGTCTTGTTTAGGGAAATAGATGGCTTTTACAGAAGAGAACTATCCAATGGACAGGAGTTAACGACATGACAGAGGAATGAGTGGGTAGACGAAGGAATGGATCCAACATGATATTACTTCCTTCTTTTACCTTCTCTCTTATCTCTTTTTCATATTATTAACCCTTGACCTGGCTCCACAAAGGCATTAATTCCTAGAGCCAGAGCATGAGAAAGGGTTAATTGGCTGGCCTGTCCCTTCATCTCCCCTATCTATCTCCTCACCGTCGATGATAGGAATCTTCAGGAACAGTAATTAAAAGGGAAAACAATAATGGGAGATGAAGGTTGGTCTACAGGAAATCCCTCCCTTTCATCTCTCTCATTCTTGTTCCACATCCTAAAGTAATTTGTAGATGGATGTGGATAAAGAATGCATGTCATGGCCCTCGCCTACAGCTCACCTATCATCCATCACCAATAATAAAGAGAATTAGCCCGCCATGAAAGGACTTCTGGAGGCGGGACAAGTGAATGAGAGTGATAGACGTGTCCTCCCTTCCGTCGTCCAGAAGTCCTTTCATGGCGGGCTAATTCTCTTTATTATTGGTGATGGATGATAGGTGAGCTGTAGGCGAGGGATAAAGGGACAGGATATGAAAGACACAGGACCTCGCCATCACTCACCATCCCTCACCTTCCTTCCCCATCTCCATCTTCTCCTGTCCCTCCCTTCACTCGTGAATTATATTGGAGAAGATTCCATGGGAAGGAGAGTTAACCCTTAGAAGCGTCCGTGAGCTGGGTTAATAGCGTCCACCGGCAGTTTCTACCTCATGGTCTATCTCTTTGGGACACTAACCACCTGTCTAACCTTCTGGAAATTCCAAGGGCAGCGAAGGGATGAGGTGGACGAGGGAAGAGCCGGGTCATGTGTGTCCCATCCCCACCGCTTGGAAGCGTCTGTAAGCTTGGGACACAAGACCCTGAGAACTTGGATGAAGAAGTCAAGCCTTTGGTAACAGCCTGGCGTTAATTGACTTCTTCCTCCATCCCTTTTCTCCTTTCCTATCTCCTTCCGTCGATTGGACATGAGTGCAAGGAATGGTAAAGAGAAAGGAAGGGCCAGCCGGCGGCTGGAGAGTCTTTATGTCGCGGCTCTTTTCTCTTTCATGTTGCCGCGGTCATCTCTTCTTTGATCAGATCTGACCAGATACTCCAGCTGAAGGCGAACCAAAGAAACCCAAACATGTGATTGTGCAGCGTTCCCAATGCCTCAACGATGTGGGTTGTTGTCCATTCCGTGTTTTGTTTGTTTACGGTGTTGGCCCAGGCTGGATCACAGACGTTATCTTCAGTAATGCTTTACAGCATTAATGCCAATTCCCAGCGGTCCCTTCGGAGAAAAGAGCGGGATTCCACTGGCAATTGAACAAACCCGAGGGAACCAAACTGAAACCTGTCCGTTGGATGGTGGCTTGGATATTTGGTCCGGCTTGCAGTGATTTGGATGTGTCTTCTTGCAGGGACTTGTCTTTCACTGTTTCACTTATGCCCAAACCCGCCTCCCTCTAAGTTGGTGATTCGGATGGGTGGCGTGGAGGGGTTCGCATTTGCCCAAAGAGGCCATTTGTTGCACAGCCATTTCATTAATTGGTTTGGACCGCACGTGGTCGAGTCCCAGGCTCTCCTGCGCCAGCGCTTGAAGAAAAGTTTGGGCCCAACATGCCGCCTGGCTTGGATCCGTGAGCCCATTCATTGGCTGCAGGAGGTACTGCTGATTGGGGCGGCGGCGCGGCATCTACAATCTGCACTTCCCTGCCATGCGTTTCCGGGATTCAGAAGTCGCGTAAACGGGATGTTGCTTGGTTGTTCAAGAGCAAGGTGAAAAGCATGCGGGGTTCGGATAAGGCAGTGTTGCCAAACAATTGGGCAAAGCCTTATTGGATGGCGTGGGCAAGCTGAATCCAACCTTGTATGCGCGTCAAGGTGCCATGGGCAGAGTTGTTGCCGTGGATGGTAAAATGCAAATTTTGAGAATCACCAGCCACCGAAGGGTTCGAAGAAGATTTTGCCTATTCACAGAGTGAGGTGGTCAAACACATTTGTTAGCTGAATTTCAACCATCGCTTCGGAGATTGGTGAAGCCCCTTCCCGTTTTTGGCCTTGGTTTTGAGGGCAACAAAAGAGGGGCCAACTATCAAGTAGTAATGTTCGCTCAAGGAGCAAAAAAGGCGAGAGTTCTCTTTCCAGACTGTTCGCACCTATGGACTTTGCGTTTCCAGCGGCCATCCCTCCGTCGGAATCGCGTCCGAGGCGTGTGCCCGATGCCGGCGCCGGGTTTACCTGGCCGGCAAAGCTGTCCGACGCATCCAATGGCCCAAAGCGCCAGCGCCCAGCTCAGGCGAGGGACGAGCGCTGAAGGAAAAAGAAAGACAAACACCGAATCAGACCGAGCTTTCCTTTTGAGCTGTTTGCCTCTTGGTTTGGAGTCTCAGTCGCGCTAACCATGCCTGCGTTGACTTGCTGGCGACCTGTGAACCGCCAAGGGCTCATGAAGAAAGCTTACTGATCAATGCCTTTTTGAGCGGGGATCCCTTATGTCCAGCTGAAGAGCGATGGCTCTTGGATCGGGGCCGTGTCCAATCTGGAGATTCTCATTGAGTTGAGGGCCCACCCGGAATGGTCCTGAGAACCCTTCAGATTCCGTAGGTTTCGGCAAAGGCATTTTGCCTTGGCCCTTCAGCCCAAACAAACCTTGTGAAGCGATTCTGTGTTTCAGGGTAGGCTCAACACAAAATGAAACAAAAACTGAGCCCTGTAATTCCGCGTAAGCCGGATATGTACGGACACCTGCTGATCTCTGTTTGTTTGCGTTCGGGGGTCCAACCAGATTTCCCTTCACGAGCAATTGGGATGACCTTTGAACGTGGTTGCTGATGTCTGGAATGAGGCCACTTTTGGACCAGGTATGATCTTGTTCAGGTTGCTGATGTTCAATTTTGTGGGAGGCAATTTTTTCAGGGTCCCTTTGAAGAATGCATTTGGGCCGGCCAGCGGAAGAATCGCTTTTACCAGCGGATGTAGGGGATCCCGTGCAATGCATACGGTTTTGCACGTATGGTTTGCCAATTTGGCCACTGGATGAGTGGGCACACGATCGAGAGCCACGGTTGCAGACCATCTTGCATCTTTGCCCTTCACGAACATCCTGAACACAGAAGATATGGCCCTGGGTCAAAATCCCGTACCCCCATGAACATCGCAATCTCCACCAAAATAGACTAAATGGGTTACCATTGGTTTTGACCCACAGCCATACCTAGAACACCCGAAGTGTGAATTTTCGCTTTTTGCCGTAGCTACAGATTTGTTTGTCGTTTCCATCAAAAAGCGCCTTTGGGACACTTGCCATAGAAAAGGGTTCGGCAAAAAACAGTTTTGCAGCGCGGAAAAAACACGCCGTTGTATCGGGGAAAACGCCTCCGCCAGTTTGTTGCAATACATCCAAAATGCCAAGATTCAGGAAAATCGCCTCCACAGAAAGACACACAAAAAACAGACTTATAGGAAGATCCAGGTATGCCAATCCTATGTTTTGGGTCAAACCTTGACCAAATTTGGGCCAGTTTGATTGTTTCTGGAGCTCAAGGCTCGTCTCTCTTGGAGCAAGCAAAAGGTTCCGACTTTTTGTGGACCATCCACTCGGGAAGTGCGAAAGGGCTGCGGTTTTCCCTTGGGAGACGTTCGGGGAGAGCGGCCTGCGGGGAGGCGGAGCGCGCGGAGCTGTCGGGGCCCATCAGCCCCGTCTGGTGCCCCGTGCCCTCGGAGCCGTCTCAGTTGGAGACTTCGACGGCGAGCTCGGTGGATTTCCTCGGGAAATGGTTCCTGCGCCACGCCCCTCGGACCGAGGACCCGACGGACCGGTTGGCGCATGAGTGGCCATAATCCGAAGGGGGGTGCCAACATGGAAGTCCACAGACCCATAGGTGTCCTTTTTAGGTTAGTGTGGTCAAACCTAGAAGGCACTGGTCTAGATGGGCTTTATTTCATTTGCTAGGGCCGTGTATTTTTCCAAAAGGGCACCCATGTGTTCACAGACCCCTTTTGCCCTCCTTTTTAGGCCCCACGCCAAGGACCTGATCAGGTTGCTTCCGGTTGTCACGTAACTATCAAACCACAATGCCCAGTCTGGAGGCCTCGGCCTCCCACCAACTATCATGGAACTCCACATGGACTGTCAGCATAGCTGAGGATAGCCCCCCTTCCCCATAGCCCTGGAGGTCCGCTTGGAACCAACGACAAACGAGGAAAAGGAATATCCTTGTAAGGGATGTGTTGCAGGTCAATGTTCATCCTTTGAGGCCAAGAAAACTCGCCAGTTGGATGGCTCGCGGGGTCATTCCCATCCAAGGCGCCGGAGAAGCTGCAGCAATTCGATGAGGTGGAGGACGGGGGCGGTCGCAGGCTTTGCTTTGCGCTTTGGCGCATTTTGCTCAGATGTTAGGACTTTAACTTTTTGCCAACTAATGGGTTTTCCATTATAAACCACTAAAAGTTAAACTTTTAGCATGGGAGCAGACAGCAACCGAGATGGTTGGTTCCCGTTGGCTTCCCTTGGCCTACCAAAAAAGGGGTCCAGGATATGAGTTTCTGCCAGGAGGTCTCGATGGACGAGCTGCAGCGATTGCGGGCTGAAGCGGACAAAAAGCTGAGCTCGCAGCTGGCGCAGAACTCCTTGGGTTGGTGGCCGTAACGGGCCCCGAAAAAGGAGATATACGTATGTTGCACCTTTAGGTGCCAAGGCAAATCCGAGAGTTTGCGTGGAACCCGCTCTACTGAATGACCGGACCAACCAGAAATAGGGCCCTATCAATCTGTACATGGTTCCCTTAATACCGGATTTGATTGTGACTCTGGGCGCAATTTTGCTACAGAGATAAGCGCTTGGCAAGTTCTTCGGGTACCAACTTTTTTTCGGAGGAACCTCGAAAGTTGTGGCCATTGTGAACCAGCGAGTTCCTTCAGTTCGGAAAGCTTTCCTTTCCCGAGGCCGCCCGTGGATCCGGTCAGCAAGGCGCCCACAGGCGTGGCTCGCTCGAATCCACTCCGACTCGGATTGGGATGGTGTGCCCCACTAGGAATGGCTCATCTATCCCCCCTCTCTGATGCTTAGGGTGGGGTGCCCACAGCCCTTCCATAGATCCTGACTCTTCTGCAGGCGTATCGTTTCACTGGCCAACCACGCCTCGGACCTGTACCCAGTTTCCTCTTATAGTATCGGGCTAGCACTTAGAATATATTTTACTCCGTCCGATCCTCACTGTTGTTTTCTTATTTTGAAATAGTCTATCTGTTGTTTTCTTATTTTGAAATATTATATTTGTTGTCTTCTTTTTGGTTGAAATATTCTATCTTTATTTTATTTTTTTCTAAGTGACTTTTTTTCTATTTATTCTAACTCATTTTTTTGATAGACTTTTGACATGTGCATTTTCATTTACTCTAAAAAATATATTCTAACTGCTAGCCCGATACTATACTACTTTCTCTGAGAGACTCTCTTTCATATCGAGTCAACCAGTATCCTACAGTCATCCCTGACCCCACAGAGAGATCCACACCTTCATAAACGCTAAACCCCAAACCCCTAAGCTTCGAAACTTTAAGAAGGCAACACATGTGTTGAGGCAAGATGGACTCTGATAGGAGCTGCAGCGATTCTTTGGGTTTTCGTATGTCCGATGGGCCCCCCACCGGGTTTTCGGGAAAATCCTTGTTTGTTTGTTTTTTTTCTCCAATGTGAGGGCTGCGGAGCTTCGTGGTACACGAAGATCCCCGCATGGTGGCGGTGCCCCAGTTCCTGAGCAAAGAGGAGTGCCAGCCCCGGGGCTCGAATCGTCGAATCGTCGAATCAGGATTCGGGAGCTCCGTCTTTGGAACGCCAGTTGCTGCTTTTTTCCAGCCACTTTTCCCCAAACACCAGCAACACTGATTGAAAAAAACAGCAACTTGGCTATCTAGGTACCCGTTTTTTGGTTTGGGGGCGGGGGGGGTCAGGGATGCTCAGGGCAAGTAAACGGAGCAAACCAAATGCCCAGAGATGTGAGTTGGCAATGGTTAAGCTTCCCTATTCAGCTTCCCTCGAAACGGGTCTCTACAAAAACCAGGGGTTCAAATCCGCAAACCAGGGGTTCAAATCCGCAAACAAAACAATTCCAAACCACCAACTAGATAATTTGGCTTAGGGGTTACCTGAGTTGTAGTGGCGAAACGCCTGAAAGCACTGGACAACAGAAGCTGCGAGCCACTTTCTCCGTTTGCACCCTTGCTCCACGTCCCCGTCGCCCCTTTCTCGACAGAGAGCCGCTGGCATCGCGGAAGGGCGCAGGTCTCAGAGCACCCACCCTGCGCGAGAGCGTCTGGGCATGTGTGAGGATGGGGGGAACCTCACAATGGTTGGAGTTGGTTTTCCCGTTGGCCCCCCCCCATAGAAAGAACAAAACGTGTGTGCCCGTCTCAGCTGGCAAGCGCCGAGGGCAGATGATACATGGTCGGAAGACCGCGCTTGATAGGCGCGACTGCCAACTGCCAACTAGCGGGAAGGCTTTTCAACCGGAAAAAACAGCTTTCAGGTGGGGTCTGACATTTCCTCAATAGGCCCAGGCCGTGGGTTGCTTCCTTTTTTCGACTTGTCCTGTTCTTGGGAGGGTTCCTCCAAAATCGGCCAAACAAAACGAGCGCCCCGGTTTGTCCCCATGGAAATCCAGAGGGGTCAGCGGGAGGCCTGTTGGCCGCGCATTTCTCCTCTGACCTCAGCCGGGTGGAGCGACTTCGAAGCCGCTCGGAGTTTGGACTGCTGAGAGCATGTCCTTCGGTTGGGGGGCTTGGGGTAAGGTGAAATGCCGCAACGGTTTTCTTTCGGCTTCCCTTGGCAACCAGCCGCCCCCAAAAAAGAAAAAGCAAAAAGAGCAGGACACGCAATTATTGAAATCAACTGCCAAAAGTAAACTGTTTTGCCCACATGGAAATCCGCTGGTCTGGGTTGGGACAACCAGCACCCCTCCCGGTTTAAATCCAGCTGATTTCCCCATTCCCTTGGATTAAAGTTGGCCTACCTGGCCTAGAGCCAAGCCTGTTCGCTCAAACGCAAACCTGTTTTTCCCGGCCTGCAAGTACTTCAGTCGCAAGCTTCCCTTGCTTCCTTTATTCACAAGGTTCTTCTTTTCCCGCGAACTAGTGACAGACCATGCGCCCACCCTAGATACAGTTTTTGACACACACAGAATTCCTGGTCTTGGGCCTCTGGGGCCAATTTTTTGGCGCGGCCTGACACCCGCAAGTCGGGCGTAAGTTTGCGAGACGTTGGTCTGGGGTTGCCGATGGCAAATTGGTCAGCCACCTGGGAAGCTTGCGGACGAAAAACTCGCAGCACGGGAGCTGAGCATATATTTTTTTCTCCCTTGGTCCCCCGGTAGTGCCCTTTGACCCTTTTTCTGGGGCGTTTTGGGGGAGGGTTCCCTGCAGAAGACAGGGCCTTATTAATTTGTTTTTGTACTGGAGGACCTAGTTGTAATACCAACCGGGGCTCATACGTGTTTTTTTTCGCCCCCCGGAATGTGGGTTGCTTCCCCTTTCACCTATCCTGGACCCCCAAGCGGAAATGTTGGGCAAAGTGCACAACTGGGTCCCTGGTCTGGGCGCCGCAGACGGCGCGAAACGGCGTCCGAGGATTGCTCCATTCCGTGGAGGAGCAGACCTGGCGTGTGCCCCTTCTGGTGAGCTGGTCCTCTGAGGCGCCCTGGCCAAACCGCAAGTAGCCAGCAAATTCAGCGGGAAAAATCATAGCACCTCTTCCTGGGGGTTGGGATGTGGCAAGATGTGGAAAGCGCAGTGTTAAGTCCTGGTTACCCTCGTTCCAACACTCATGGAAGTGGAATTGGGGCCTTTTTTAGGATGATGAATTCTTCCAAAGCCCTCCTGTCCACTTTCATGATTGCTCAAAAGAGGGTAGTGTCGACTCATGATGAACAAAGCCCCCACTTATCAATTAGGGGTTCCTTTTTTTTTTCAGGGGACCCCTGATGAATGCCTGGTCTGAATAAGGGGTAACACCAGACATTTCCTGGGGATTCGGAGGGAGATTTAAGGGTTAGCAATGTCCCGATGCATTTTGGCATAACAAAAATGACTTCAACCAGCTGAAGAATTTCCTTGTCAACAATGAGCTTTTTAGACCAAAGGAACCCTGGTGAAGGCGTTTCCCCGTTTCCCCCCCTTTGTCGCTCAGGCAGATGTGGCAGAGAAGGCCACGGCAGTTTTGGACGACTTCCAAAGCAGGTGCGAGACAACCGGGGGCATGGACTCGTAGACTGCATGTGTCACGTATCCTTTGAGAATCGAGAACCCCCCCCCAACCACACCATCCCCCCAAACTCAACAACTGAAAGAGGCACAACGCACCAACCCCCCAAACACACCAACCCCCCCCCCGGTCCAAGCTCAACAACAACTCAGGCCCAACTTATGCAAGGAGACGTTTTCCTACCCCACGTTCAACGACAGCACCGGGTTGACCTCCGGGTCCCAACTCACGCCAGGGGCGTCTTGCATGCCATGCCGCGGCTTCGGGGCCGGCGTGCGCAGTTCCAACACTACGCCCGCCTCAAGGACGAACAGCGAGCACAGCTGGAGAAGGTAATGCTAGCCTCAGATTGATTAACCTGGAGGACCCTACTAATCAGATGAATCTCCGAAAATAAATGAGTGCGTATTTTTGGAGCTGGAGCTTGTTTTTTTCTTGGTGGTTTCAAAAGGGGAGCCAAAATCAAAGGAAAACCACATTGCTATGTTGTTTTTGGGATGGAATGTTTTCATATGCTATCTACCAAGTGGCTTGGACAATCCGCAGTGCTAAGCATCAGTTCGTTGATGATGCAGGGGTTCCTGTGGGCCATACCCCAAGAAAACATGTGTGTGTGTGTGCGTAGTTCTTTCTGCTCATGCCTCTTTTGAGAAAAGTTGAAGTAGCAGTGCATTGTCATCGATATCCGAAAAATATGTGTTTACACCCTCTGTGTTTGCCTACTCGCCGTGCAAGCCATGCGGGTGATGAGGTGGCAGAAACTTCCTATTTGCCGTGGGGGCGGGGGGGTTCGAAAGAGGAGAGCCTGAAGCGTCATGTCCGAGCAGAAGCGCCGTGGGTCTTCTTCTCGGACGATGACGCGCCTTGGCCACGGGGAGCGACCGGTGGGGATGCAGCCCGTGTGAACACTGGAGGATGCGCCACCACCACATGCAAAATCATCTCCATCCGGACTCAAAGAAACTTACTCTAGAGAAGAATAGGTTGACATGGGAAAGCAAGACTTCGCTGTTTTCGGGTGTGTTTGAGCATGTGAAGAAGGCTACACACCCACAGGTGTTGGTGCCGATGCAACCCCGTAAGGGAAAGCAGTTTTCAAGGTTTCATGTTCCTCTCCTGCTTTGGTAGGTGTTTAAGTTCATTGGCCGTGACTTGTTGTTCTGAGTGCTGCATTTGCTTGTCAATACTGGGGGAAAACTGCCGGAAGAACTCAAACCCGGAACGCATCCCAACCCTCTGAGCGCGGCGCCGGCATTTTTGGGATCCGAATTGCGTCGCCTCAGGACATTTGGCACCCCAGGCGTGCAGAAGAATATGCCATCGCGATAGAGGCACGGGCAGATGTGTTCTGCCAGCTCAGCTGGCGACCAGATTTGGAATTCAAGCTTCAATCCATTTTTGTTGGGCACGCTGCCTGAAAACCTGAAAGTCTAGGTTTCCTTTCAGATGTCAAAGTTGTCAGCCAAAAGGGATTTGGCAAGACAGCCCTGGTTGGACCTCCTTCACTGAAATGCTTAGCAGGCTGAACTTTGATTTTCAGTGTCCCTTTGGACCATCCGAAAAAGATACGCCTCTTTTTGTGGAAACCAGGACTGGGACGACAAGCACCTTGGAATCCAAATCGAAGCACCCTGATGGAGATCCATGTCTCATCAGCTGGGCTCATCCCATTGGTTTGGGTGTCATCCGGACAGGAGAGACCCGGGGACGAGCCCGTGGTTCACTCCAGGCGCGGACCCGATGGACCCTTAGGTACGGACGCGCGATATGGCCGAACCTTTTCTCCATGGAAGTTGGCTGGATTTCCTTGACCAATCGCCGAAATCATGAAAAAATGATAGGCTAGACTCCAGCAAGTCCCAGACCAGCGGCCAAAAATGCAAATTGCATCGGCACTTGGTGGATTTGGGGCCCCCCCTCCCAAAATCGAGAACTCGCAGGGTGCACCTCACGCCGGGCCTGGGCCCGCGCCTGCCGTTGGCAGCCACCTGTGGGGAGATCACCCGCATGGAGGCCGGAGGTTCTCGACCAGCTCGGAGCCTCAAAATTTGGAGCTTGGGTTTCGCTTCGAATTTTGGCGCTGGATCCATTTGCCTGGAAAAGTGGCCGGCAACCACCGGGAACCCAGAAAAAATGGAACCGGGATCCGATCCTCGAAGGGTATCCTTTTTGGTGGCCTTGCAGACATCAAAGATGGTGTGGTGTTAAGGCGCCCTTCTCCAAAGGAAAAGCCGCAAGATTGGGCATTTTAAGACATGGCTGTGAATTGCAAAGTGGAATTACCTACCTCGAGAGTGGTGGGACATGAATCAGCTCAATGATGTGCACCAAAGGATTTGCCAGTGAAACTCATGCCCATGCCATCGTTTGGCAGTTTGGTGGCGGTTTAAGCCATGGTTTGAGCGGGTGGGCTATGTCCATAGAGGCGGATGGGCTTCTGCGCCTGGCCATCAGCGCAGAGGAGGAGCCGCGGGTTTGAAATGGCCAGGAGGAAGGGACGAAATCCTTTGGA